GGCACAGCCAGGGCTGCTCCGGGAGCACAGCTCTGCCCCTCTGAAACCTCTGCCAGGCGCTTTGTGCTCTTGGTGCTCCCACGGGGGAAGGCGGCTTTGGCACTCAAAGTCCTGCTCTCAGTAGGAATCACAAACCTGAAGAACTGCGCTCACTTGAGACTGAGAACCTGATTTCATGAGGGTGTCCAAAGGTCACAGGCTGGGGGGACAGGGGGGATATCTCTGCAGCATCATGGCCTGTCTTCCAGAAAATGGGTAAGGGAAATCTATGGGCAATGTGAAATTTACGGACAGGCTTCAGGAAACTTCACATGAAGCTCCATAAAAGAGCAAAAGGATTTCTTGGCATATTGAGAGAGGTATTTTCTGGGAAAGGGCATTATCGGAGAGTTACCTTGCAGAATCTATAATCCTTTCATAATAACAAGAGTTTGCTCAAAAGCAGCAGGACAGACTCTGTAAGGGCTGGAGCAGCCTAATGCCTCCCAAACCACCAGAGTTTTATGCATTTTCCTGCCTGGTGATCCAAGCCGTAGGGAAAAGCAGAGCCCACCAGGTAAATCCCCTCTGGTTCCAGTTCTAGCACTAAGAAAAGCTAAAGCCGTAATACAGCACAGCTTTGGGTCACCTTTCCCAGGCCTGTGCCCAGTGTCAGGCAGGGACAAAGCAGGCAGGATGAACCTGCCAAGGAGGATGAGCTGGCTGCTGTCCCCAGCTCCCCTCCCTGGGCCAAGTCACTCACTGCCTCGCGTGCAAGAAACTGAGCAGGTCTGGAGCGAGGGGCTGCCTCTGCCCCAAGAGTTTTGGGCTGTAGGCAGGAGCTGGGGGATGGCTGGAGGGACCCTGCAGACCCCACTCCAGGGAGAGCTGCCCAGGACCCCCCTGGGAGGTTCTGCCCCATTGTCCCCAGAGAAGAGCAACAGCAAACGATGATGGAGGGCAAACTGCCCCAGAGCCACTAACACCTAACCATGGCCCTGACCCCACCCTTCAAAAAACAAACATAAACCCCTGTTTCCCCACTGGTAACTGCAAGTAAAGCATGCAGGGACCTAAACTATGTGGAGGTCTCTCCTGCTGCCCCTCTGCCCAGAAGGAGCTGCCAGGCAACCCAGGGACAGGGGGATGGACAGTGCCACCAGCTGCGGCACACTGGGCAAGCACAGGGTGACCAGAAGGGGACATGGCCCTGGCCAGGAGTGCAGCACAGGCAGGGACAGTCCCCTCCTGCACACAGAGGGGCACGGGGCTGTGCTGCACAGCGCAGGGTGAGAAGGTGGCTGTCCCTGTCAGGACAGGGCTGCAGCAAGGTGAGAGCTCTGTTCTGGTGTGCAGGCGAGGGCACCTCGCTGCCCATGGCCCGGGCGTGCGTGCTCCATGGGGTGTTGAAGATTTTTCCCTTTGTTGAAACATTCTGCGCAAAGAAGAAAAGGATAAAAGTCAGGAGTGTGGAAGGAGAATATTCCCACCCCGGAGGTGCTGGCTGTGAAGCACCTGTCCCAGGGAGGGAGCTGAAGCCACGGCTGTGCCCTTCCCCAAAACACCAGGCCACCCACCACTCCCAGGCTGTGGGAGAAGGAAACCCAGTGACTGGGTGAAAAGCCCAGCTTTTGAGACCCATGCTTTCAGAAATGTAACTTTCTTTCATTTCAAGTTCTATGGGCTCTTCTGCTCAGTTTGGATCTTCCTAATGGCACCCTTAATTCTGTGGAACAGAAGGAACCCAGGTAAATCCCACTGAGTTCCCTTTACCTCTGCCCATGAAATCCATCTCGTGTATCTTCTGTTTCCCCTTGGATTTTGGGAATGGGTAAGGGCCTGCACTGCCTTTCCACCCCAGTGCCCAGAGCACAGCACAGCAAACCTGGAGATGGGCACCAGTGTTTGACAGAGGTTAACTGGGGAAATCGCAGCCTGCTGGGCTGACCTGGGAGCAGGTGCAGGAGCACGGTGCTGCAGACAGGAGCAGCAGCACTGCTGGGTGCACGCTGCCACACATCCCTGCCCTTTCCCTCCCTCGCCTACAGCACATCCAGGGTGTTCTAAGGCGCAGCAGGGATCCCACAGCAATAACAAGCAGAGTGAGCAGCTATGGGTAGCTGAACAAGGCTGGCCCCCAAGCAGCCTTTTTGCACAAAGCAAAGCACACCAACACTCACCTGTGACAAGCTCATGACTTCCTCCTGCTAGTGGCTCTATGAGAAAGAACAGAACACGGGGTGGGTTGCAAACAAAGGGACAAGAAGTCACAAAATCCCTTCCCTTTTCTCCCCCATGGGCCCAGAGGCACCCCCAGAGCCCAGAGGCCCATGCCAGGCAGGGAGGACACGGCTGGCAGCATCCACCAGTGAGAGAGAGCCCTGGCACCTACCAGGCTGGAGCTGCCATGGCTGAGCTTGTCAAAGCGAAACTTCAGGTTGGACCTTGGAGAATTTCTGTTCTTTAGATCTGCTGGAGGGAGAGGACAAACAAAGAACAAAAATAAGAAACTGTGAACAAAAATATTTGCTGTAGTACTGGCTGCACTCGCCCAGCTAGGCACTTTAATAGGCTGTCAGGAGTGCTACCAATATTTAGTCTGCCTTGGCTGAATGTTTGGCAAAAGCTGTACATTAAGTGTTTGCAATGGAACAAATTGAGGCTTAATTACATTTCACAGTCTTTCTCCTGGAAATGCCACTGAAAAGGCTACAAGGAATGACTGATCCATATAATGTATGGGTGGATTTTCATGTTCTTGGCAGGAAAAATACAAAATAAACACTTCAAGCATTAAAAGGGGCTGGTTTAAGGGTTCAGAAAATCACTTATGAAGTAAGGAGGAGGACCTGTGGGGTGTTGAGACACAAAAAGCCTGCCTGCACTCCATGGTCCCACTTTGCCTGCAACACTCCCAGTTACTGAGCTGTTTGGGTCTATTTGTGCTTCCCGGCTGTTTCAGAAACAGCTCCTCAGCTGACAGTGTGTCTCCACGTGGCTGCTGGTGCCTTGTGGCAGGCTCTCTGTGGCTCGAGGAACCAGAGCCATGGGGATTTGTGGGCGAGGGGTGGCTGTGGCCATCCCATCTCACTGCACCCTCACCACAGAACGGGCCAGCAAAGAGCTTTTCTGAGCTTGCACCTCATTGAGCAAATCATCCGACTGAAATGGATGGAGCTGGTGAGCGGGTTGGCACGAGAGGAATGGAGCCAAGACCACGGGAAGCTGATTGTTGATTAAGTAATTGTGAGTCATGGCTCAGCCTCTGGAGACAGAGTTTCCACGACTACTGCACATGCTTGTCAGGGGAGACAGAGGGAACAAAGCCACAGCAAGAGCCACCTCTGCACTCTAATTGAGGAAGGAAACCAATTCCCCATGGAAGTAACCACAGCACATGGGGCCATGTGTCCAGAGCAGCCCTGCCAGGATGGGGCTGCCCCACACCCGTGGG